GATACATGGTGCTTTAGAGATGAAGAGGGCTTGAGAGATGGCCCAATAGCTTGCTCGAGCACAAGGGCCTCAGTTTGAATGTTGCAAACCATGCAAAGAAAAAAAAATAGGGCATGGTGGCAGGTACTTGTGATTCCAGCCCTAGGGAGGCAGTTAAGAGGATTCCTAGGGCTCCCTGGTCAGCATAGAATAAGTGGTGAGCTCTCGGTCAACGAGAGATCTTGTCTCCACAAACAAGGGGAGGGGGTCAGCTAGTTGGCTCAGTGGGTAAAGGCATTTGCCTCCCAGCTTGATGGCATGAGAGTTTGCACTTGGAGCCTCATAGGACCCACACGGCAAAAGGAGAGAACTGATTCCCTCAAATTGTCTTCCAACCTCCACATGTGCACACACACACACACACACACACACACAGACAGGGAGAGAGGCACACAGAGAGAAAGAGAGAGGGGTGAATGAGAGGTGACAGAGGTGAGGGTGTGGGATATTGAGGCACGAGAAAGAGCAAGGACCTCAGGGTTAGAGGTCAAAGGGACAGTAGGCCCTTTCCCACACTCGGGGCTCCCTGTGACATGGAAGCAGCCATGTTCAGGGCTTTCCAGCAGCTGGTGTGTGGTCTTGTCCAGTTCCCACCTACCCCCAGATGGAATCCAGAACCTTGGTCTGGGCTCTAGCCAGCAGGTGGGAAAGAGGCCATTGTCTGTTTCTACCATAGGTTAAAGGGCTGTACAAAAACATTGTTTTAGAAGAATGTACGAAAATTAAAATTTATAAAACTGAGGGCATCGACAGCACTCCCCCAGAAGGTCAGACTATATAAGGCTCTAAAGGGAGCACTAGGCCAAACAAAGAGGTGGTGGGGGAGGGGGGATAAGCGTGCAGCTCAGCTGCTGTGTTCTTAGCATGTCATGCCTTTGGTGTTGTCTCTGCTTGTTTCGAAGTCATATTTGCTGGCCTTTCAGGATATGCCAGGTTCTGGCCTAGGAGCTGTAAGGGTAACTTCTCAAAGACCCTTGAAGGGGCTTTTGGCCTTGGAATGGTGCCACCTTTGAGCTTTAGCGTGGTCTACACAGTCACCACCTGTTTCTGAGTGGCTCACTTGACAACTCTTTGTGCTAGGCCGTAAGCAGGAGGGTGTGGGCACAGAGCCACTCAGGAGGTCAGATTCCTTAGAAGGGGCAGATGCAGGACCCGCTGGGACTGCAAAGAATTCCCTTTGTAGCTTTGGTGGATGACTTCCAAGGCTGGGGGATTTTTTTTTTTCTTTTTTAATGAGTTGGACTACACAAACAAGCCCTTGATAGACAAGCAGATGTGTTCGGGGGAGGGTATCCAGACATCTAGGAACTGGTTACAGGTTGTTAGGAAGGGTGAAGCTGGAAAGGCAGACAGCATGGGCAGATGGCATGAGGGCCATTAGGGAAGGGTGCAGGCAGAGTGGGGCAGGCCTGACCACAGGAAAAAGAGAGAGGGTGTTGGTAAGTGCTCACAGACCATGGCTGGAACGCAGGCCTGCCTGAGGAGCTGAGGAATGAAAGGCAGCAGTCACACAGGCCTTTGGTTAGGCTAGTCAGATGCAGTTCTTTCAGTGAGCAGAACCCTTTGCCTTACACATGCTCACTAGCAACAGGCCTTTCTGTGCACCGACACCCCCTCAGGTGGACCTTAGCGGTCTGTGGAGGGTCTCACGGACTCTGACCCCAGCCTGGCTTTGTACGTAGTAGGTTGGAAGCCTGAGCCAGGCAGTCCTCCCTGAGCCTCCAGTCTTTCTTCGGCCAAATGCCTGTTACTTCAAGCATGCTGGGGTGATCCAGGCAAGGTCCATACCAGGGCTTGACTGAAAAGCACTAATACTGTTGTTACACTATCAAAAGCAAGAAATACTAGCCCCCCGCTGCTGGGGGACTGCTGAGAGTACCCACATCTGCAAGCCATCTTCTCTCTTTCTCTGAAACCAGCACTGCTGGGCACGGCTCCAGGACCCTTCTGTTCCCAAGTGAATACTGTGAAGTTGTTGGCTATTCCCTCCAACAGAGGAGAAAGCTGAGGCACTGAGATATTGTGATTCCTCCTAAAGCCCAGGGAACGCCCAGGTCTGACACCACACATGGACAGATAGAGAGATGGATGGCCTGAGCTCTGCCAGGCTCGTCCCCCAAAAGTAACAGCGTGTCTTATCAGAGTCATAAAACATGTGTAGACTTTCTCCTAACTAGAGAGGCATATTTCAAAGTGACCACATTTCCTGCCCACCAGCTTAGCCGAGATGGTGAGAGTGAGCAAGCATGCAGGTGATTTGCTATAATCATAAACGGTCATGGACATTAGTAACTGGTGTAGGACTGAAGAGATGGCTCAGTCCATAAACTGCTTGCTACACAAGAGAGAACCAGGATCCACATGCAAATTCTGGGTGTGGTAGTACATATTTGTAACCCCAGGATGATAGATCCTGGGAGCTCACTGGTAAGTCAGTCTAGCCTGCTCAGTGAGTTCCGGGACTGAGAGGCCTGTCTCAAGCTAAATGTGAACAGCACCTGAGGAATGGATAGCAGAGGCTATTCACAGGTTTGCATGCATGCCTGCACAAATAGATGCACACGCAAAAACATGAACACACACACACACACACACAACTGGCATGACCTTCAGGACAGTTTTTGAGTAATTAACATTTTAAACACATAAAATATTCATCTCATAGATTAAACCCTGGAACAGGGCACTTTACCCTGAAAGCTTACAATCATACAGAGGTCACATGGTCATATTCCACTCACAAAGATGGCTGCATCAGCCACCCAGAGATAAACCCACTTGGCTTACTTTCCCTCTCCCCACTCACTGTGGAAGCAGTTACCCACTTATACTGCGCACGCACGCGCGCGCGCACACACACACACATACACACACACACACACACACACACACGGAATGCCTCTTACCCCATAAACCTCTGCTTCCCAGAGTGTTTTGCAAGCCTCTAAAACGCTTGCCCAACCAAGGGTACCCTGGGAAAGGTCCAGCGCTTACTGTGCCAGCCCCACGAGACTCCCAATGTCCCCAGCATCTAGAGGGATTGCACAAGGGTTGGGATGTACTGTCACTTGGCGCTTCTCGTCACCTTCTCTGCCTCTGCCAGCGACAGCAGATTCTATATAAAGCTGCCAAACCTGGCATCTCTACACTGAGCCGTGACCCCTTCATCGAAGGGCAAGGCACCAGACTGCCGGTGATAACGGTGGCAATCAGGCCTAGCAGAAGCCCTGAACCCCGCTGGGTCAGGGCAGACCTGACACAGGGAAGTCAATTCTCTCTGCTCCGACCTCAGGCTCTGAGTAGCTATAACTTCATCATGGAGACAGGATATAGACACATCCTGTCTGAGTTAGCGGCAAGAAATAGGGCCCCAGGGGTCTCCCAGCAGGGACCCTGCCACAAATCCAATGGGGAAAGTAATCTTGAGAACTATATAAACAAAGGTCGTAACCCTGACAGCCCCGGAAGAGAGGTGTCTTCCCCTATTGGCCAAGCAAGATCTGAACCGGGAATCTTAGAAAACTGTTGGGTAGGGGTCAGGTGACCCTGTCCAGGCCCCCCGGCCACTGCAGCCTGGACTTCCTCGGGGCCTGAGATGAAATGAATGCAGCAGTCCTGACTTCCTGTTTCTTAACCCAGGCCCTAACTAAGCATGTGTTCACACACGTGCCTGGCATCCACACACAGGAACACAGGTCAAGCACATGTTGAAATTAATGCCTGAGAACCCTGGGATCCACACTCGCTGGTACAGTTCACCTTGGGGTGCTATAGACATCTGTAAACACCTGGCACACCTCTGCCTGGGCTTTTTTCAGGTATTTACATGTGTCTCGTTCTTACAGCCCAGGGAGAGGTGTTCTAAGACGGTTCTCACTTTGTGGATGCTGAACCTGGGGCTAAGAGACATCATAGAGACGATCCCATAGCGTGGACTGGTGACACGCATGGGCACACAGTCACAGACCACACGGCATCCACACAAGGTGCTTGTCCCCAAGTCACACAAGGCAGGGGTCCCAAGAGGGCCCCCCCCACCTATGTTTATAAGACCTGCCAAAGTGGTAGCCGACTAGGGGTGTAGCTCAGTGTTTGCCTCACGTGCGTGGGGCCCTGAGTTCCCTCTCTGGTACGGCATAGGCTCTCTGTGTGGTGCCCTGTCCCTACGGTCACAGTACCTTGGAGGTGGAGGTAGGACGATCAGAAGTTTAAAGTCATCTTTGGACATGGCCTGGCCCATTCTACGGACTAGCGCCCGGACTACATAAAACCATGTCTCAAACAAAAATAAAGAAATAAAAAATAAATAAAGGTCTCTGTTATCCTCTATTATCTTATTAGCCAACACCACGTAGGCTCTGAGTAGTGACTCTCTGAGGTGAGGGGCAAAATGGATAAACGGTGGTCGTGTTCTTTTAAAAAACAAAACTTTTAGATTGCAAAAGCCCCAAAGCAGAGAAGCAGGCAGTTCGGGCGGGGAGGCCCATCAGTGCTTCCTACATCCGGAGACTCTTCACTGCTCCTGTTACCAAGTTAAAGCGTTTAAAAAAAAAAAAAGACAGTCTTGTTTGTTTGTTTGTTTGTCGTTTCATACTCCCAGGAGAGCGGACTCCGCAAGGTCTGTGCCAGTCCCACAGCCAACAGGCCTGAAAGAACTGCTGGAGTTTCTAGGAGTCTTCCCAGGAGTTGGCCCGGACTCCCTGGTGCAAACTTGACCGGACCGTGGCGATTTGCCTTGCTGGGGGGATGGGGGTGCCTGCCTGGTTGCTGAAGGCTCGGCCTCTCCCTCCCCGGGGTCCCGGACCCTCCCCAAGCCTCACACAAAGAAACTGCACGCCACCGCAGGGCTGGTGGCCTCCCTGGACTCGGGGACACCCACCCGGCCGGAGCCCCCAGCTCGGACCCCGCGCGCTCGGTACCGCCCGGCTCAGGCCGGAATCCCGGGCAGCCCCGGTACTCACCGAGGCGCTCCGGGGGCGGCGTGCTGACGGGGCCGCTCATCGCCACGCGGTGGGGCGCACTGCGGCGGCGGGGGTCCCCAGTTTCTGGACCGTGAACCCGGCCTCTCGCTCGCACCTGGGGCTCCCACTCCGCGCGCAGCCAGCAGAAGGGAGGGGCTCCGCCCCAAGATAGGCACACTTCAAACTATTTTTTTTTTTTTCTACAACTTGGCCATGAGGTTTCCACCCATTTTTTTTTTTTTAAACACACACCCGCCCACTTCCGAACGTTTTTCTTTTGCGCTCTAACTTTCCGCTCAGGGCTCACAGCTCCCCGCGTTTCTGTTTCCAGCTGCCACTATCAGATAGAGAGAGGGCATGCAGTTATAACCACCCTCATGTGAGCACCGAAAAAGTCTCACCGGAGGAGACCTAGTGGCCTGGCTGGGCACTGTCCAAACAGGGACAGACAGGCCTTTCAAGCCTGGCTTAGGGGCCTTGTAACCAGAACCAGTCTAAACATTTCTTCTTTTTAAAACAATGCCTCTTAATTAGCATTCACTGCTGTGTATATTTGCAGGGTACGGCAAAGTATTTGACATAACATAGGCTGTGTAATGATGGTGTCAGTTAACATTCTTAACTCCTTACCGCCCTTTACTTTGGGGGATAACCAGCGCTCTCTCTCTCTCTCTGTCTCTCTCTGTCTCTCTCTCTCTCTCTCTCTCTCTCTCTCTCTCTCTCTCTCTGTGTGTGTGTGTGGACACCAATCTGTTTTAGTACCGCCTACCCAATCTCTCTATTTTCTGCTCAGGCACTAGTCACTAATAATTGCTACTGGACTTCGATACTTTGAGGTGACATTTTTGATTGTACAAGACAGATAACATTTGCATTTGTTTCCCTGGCTTAGTTAATTATACAAAAATGTCTTCTGCTTCTGTCCTTTCTATGGCACCTGAAATGGTTGCTAACTTGTATCACTATCTAAACAGTGCTGTCACCCTGCAAGCATGAGGACCGAGTTCAGTCCAAAATGTCTTGGTTACTTTTCCTGGGGCTCTGATTAAGTAAGATTTTTGCTGACTTGTAACTTGAGGGTACAGTCTGTTGTCTCAGGGAAGGAACCTACACTCGGGAAGCAGAGAGGGAGCAGGAGAGGGATGCCGTTCTCACCAGACGCTAACCTAAATAATTATAAAAAAATCAAAGAGCCAGATGCACTGGCTCACACATATCCTGAGCACTGGCCAAGTGGAGGTAGGTAGATTCCTTCAGCCGGCTGGCTGGCAGGCCTGAGTTCCAGGTTACTGAGAACTCTCTCTTAAAAATCAAGGCGGATGGTACCTAAGGAACAGCAGCAGAGGCTGGCCTCTGACCTCCACGTACCCATGTACCACGTGAAGGTAAATATCCTCACCTCACGTTTCCCCCTGTTTTGCCATCCCGCAGGTGGCATCGCTGCAGCAAGGTTAGAAGTAAGTTCAATGCTTTTGATATGCTCAGGAGCTGTTGCAGCCATTTCCAAGTTTTAGTCAAGTTGATCTGTGTCGACCTTGGGATTTAGGCACTAAATTTCATACTGGTATTAATTGTGTCATGGGGAACGTTGGTAGTTGCATTGGTTTATAGTCCTGTTGCTGTTATAGGACTCCTGACAAGAGCAACGAAGGAAGGAAGGAAGGAAGGAAGGAAGGAAGGAAGGAAGGAAGGGAAAGGAGGGAGGAGGAAGGGAGAAAGGAAGGAAGGGAGGAGGAAAGGAGGGAGGGAGGAAAGGAGGGAGGAAAATAGAAGGAAAGGAAGGAAGGAAGAGAAGGAGGAAGGGAAATGGGGGAAGGAAGGAAGGTAGGAAGGAAGGAAGGAAGAGAAGGAGGGAGGAAAATAGGGGGAAGGAAGGAAGGAAGGAAGGGTTAAACCTGTGTTAAACCCATGGCAATTTTTTTTTTTTTTCTGGCAGCATTTTGGTGCTCCAGAGCAAGCATTTTAGTCTTCCTCCTGTGAGAGAAACCTTACTTAGGAAATGGTGGAAAATATTTAAATTACTAGGTGGAAAATTTGAAGCATGGAAATCTAGAGACTCGGTGAATAGAAACAAGGAAGGAAGGAAGGAAGCAAGGAAGGAAGGAAAAGAGGGAGGGAGGGAGGGAGGGAGGAAGGAAGGAAGGAAGGAAGGAAGGAAGGAAGGAAGGAAGGAAGGGTTTACTTTGGCTCCCTCTCTGAGAAAGTGTTGGTGGCAGGAGCGTGAGGCCCCTGGGTAATTGCATCAGCAGTCAGGATGCAGGGAGCAACAAGCCCTAGCACTAGTCTCCTTTCTGTGCAGTTCTGGACCTTTGCCCACAGAATGCTGCCACCCATGTATAAGGTGAGTCTTCTCGCTCAAATTAACCTCTAGACACTCTATCACAGGCTTAGAAGCCCATCTCCAGGTGGTTGTATATTCGATCACGTTGATAATCAACACTAAACATCATATACAAGAACTCATCAATAGTATACAATGCTAGATGCCAACAAATAATACTCTCAAAGTGATGGCGGGGGACGGCAGCGGCGGCAGGTAGAGATGAGGTTGAACCTTAAATCTTACATCTGACTAAGGGATAACTTGACTAGGACAGGAGGAGAAAGGCACCACTGGAGATGTGAAGACAGTGTCTGCCTCTTGCACAAAGCAAGTTATAGACTAGCATGCTGTACGGAGAGAGAGTGGGAACTGGGTAGAACCCCAGGATGCGGGCCGCAGTGGCCAGGCCTGCAGATGCTCCAAGAAGACTTCAGGGCTTTAATTTAGTACCAGAGTCTGGTTAATTACAGGACCAATACAATACTACGAGAAAGTAAAAAAAGAACACTGCAGAGATGAGCTGGATGATCATGAGGCAGGACATGCCTGAAAAACACATGATGTCTATATTGCTTTTCTACAAGAAAAAAAAAATGAAAAAAGAAAAGAAGCAAATAACCAGAAAGATGCACACAGGCTGGGGTTAGTGCTCGCTAGTTGAAAACACATATGAACCTATGAATTTGGATCCCAGGTCTCATATAACAACCCTGGCATGACCCTGAATGCACCTGTGACCCCAGCTACAACCCAGGTACAGGATGCTAGGAGCATAGGCCTGAACAACTGTGACAGACAGATGTGAAGAGGCCCCTTTCTTCTTCCTTCCATCTGTCCTTCCTTTTCCCCTCCATCCCTTCATCTCTTCATCACTCCCTTTTTCCTTCCTTCTTTCCTCCTTTTCTTCCTCCCTCCTTTCTTTCCTTCCTTCATGCAGATGTGAATGGAGGGCAGAGGTCATCACTTCAGGAGACAGGATTTTTCTGTGAATCTCACTGAGCCGGAATATTGCTGATTGGATTAGACTAACTGGGTGATAAGCCCCAATGAGCCCTTCCAGTGTTGGATTACCAGCGTGTGGCACTGCACCCAGCGTTCATGTGGGTGCTGAGTACTGAACTCAGGCCCTTATGCCTTTATGGCAAGGCAAGCACTTTACTAACAAAACTCTCTCTCCAGCCCCAGAAGAGCCTTTCTGAAGGGGATTTCCACCATTGTTATTTTTGGAGGCAGTGAATTGTCTGGGAAGAAATCCTAAATTTCAACCCTGTTTTGATTAATGAGTTCAATAGGGTAATTCCAGCTCAGAGATGTTGCTATAGATACAGCCAAGGCCACTGGAATTTATCAGATGCTATCAGACTATTTTCCAAAATGGATCAGTTGCTGTTGCCATTAGAAGTGTGTGAGGCTCTCAGGACTTCTGTCTTTCAAATGTTTGGTGCTTTGGTTCTTTTACATTTGCTGACCATGTTGGGTATTGGTCTAAACTTGGCATAAGTTGATGCATGTCAGATCACACGGCTAATGAATTGAAGTACTTGAAATCAAGATGGGATCCTGAGCAATTAGATGGGCTGGGAAATCTGGGCTAGTTTAATTGTCAACTTGCTATGACCTAGAATCAACTGGGAAGCAAGTTTCAATGAGCCATCTTGATCAGGTTGCCTTGTACAGACATCTATAGAGTGTTGTCTTGATTGCCTTCATTCACGTGGGCAGCATCCGTCCCTGGTCCGGGGACCTGGACTTGTATGAGTGGAGAGGCCTAGCTTAGTCCCAAGCATGAATACGTTCACCCTCTCACTGCCAGCTCATTTTTTTGTCAGGTTGTTTTAATCACAGCAACAGGAATGAAAACAGTACAAGAATAGACTCAGGTGATAATGCTGGATTTGCCTTCTCTCTCTTTTGTGTACAGTTTTCTTTTATGGAGTGTATCACATAGAAAGTGGCTTGGAGACAGTAGGTCCTCAATAAGTGGGAGATGATGATGAAAGTGATGATGGTAATGGTGATGACGTTGGTGGTGGTGGTGACGGTGCTGATTTTGCGTGGCATTGTCACTTGTTGATGGTAAAAGCTGCCACGTTAGACCAATCTGGCAGAATTCTGGGGAGGTTAAGTTGAGAGTTTACTGCTGGGTGAACCCCCATGGTAGTTTGTTATATCATCTAACAAATATGTGCTCTTCCTGACCTCGGCATGAGACAGCCCCGGCTGCCCGAGATCAGGTGTGCTTCGAGGGATGTTAGTGGACTTCCCTGTGCTGCACCCAGCAGAGGCTGGAATGTTTTACGTGTGCGTGTGTGTGTGTGTGTGTGAGGGGGGTGTTGTCTTCTGCTTCAGCCCTCCCCCATGTGCAGAGCACACTCAGGTGGCCAGCGCTTCCCCAGCCCTTTAGGTTGTGGGTGGCTCAATTCTGATTTGTGTATAGCTGGGTCAGAACCTGTTGGGGATGCCACTGAGACGTACCAGAATTTTATTGTCTACAGCGGTAGTAAAAACTAATGAATACGAAGTGGATTTTGTTTTAGTGTAAGGATGAACACAGCAGCCGGCAGATTCTCAGACACTCAACACTGAAGCACGAAGCAATTAATACAAGAAAGAAAAGATAAAATGGTACTTAAAGGAGACAGACCATTTAGAAGTCTTAGTTTTTTTCACTCCACTTGAAATGTGAAAACTAGACTAGCATCTTGGTGTATGGAAGCAAGCTGGATGTGAAATATTTAAATAGATATTTAAATTGTAAATAGAAATATTTACAAAACAGTAAGGGATAGACAACAGCCTTTGCACATATAAAGAGAAGGTTTATACCAGCTATGAAGTATTTTGTTCGTTTTCCTTCCTCCCACCCTCTCACTCACTTACTCATTCACCTATCCATACGCTTATCCAAC